CTTGCGGGCCACACACACACTCAAGCCAACCAGCACTCAGACAGGCACGGCCACACACACACTCAAGCCAACCAGCACTCAGACAGGCATGCAGTGCAGCAAGCGTGCACACACGGACTTAATAGCAAGTGGGAAGCAGGGCATTCAGTCTATGGGCAAAACTCAGAAATCAGCTGTGTTTCAGTCCATGTTTGGACGGGTCATCACACTACTCCCCCCTCAAGAGCGAGGTCCCTTCGAATGAGTAACTCATACTGAGTCCTCGACAAACGCATCGTAAGCAAGCAAGGCAAAGAGGTTCCTAGAGTACTCTGTTGCAATGAGTCTTGCAGAGATCTTAGGTACAACGTTCGTGGCGATTTGTTGCTCGTAGGGTTTGACAACGCGTGGTGCGCTGCATAGCAGTTCCTGTTTGGAGATCCAGTACAAATCGTCTAATGGGTGATACATGAAGTGAACCTGGTACTGTCTGTTGCGTCCCTTCCCTACGCGCTGTTTGATTTTGCCTATCTCATGCCCGCCTTTGATCGCACGAGGGATCATGTCTTCTCGATAGTCGAACGTCTTAGCATCACGGTGGAGGTACAGTTTCGATGCATGGAACACGGGGTATGTGCGCAAATGGGCTGGCACATCAACTACGTACGAAGGGCCAAAGTGGTCTTCGTCAATCACATCCAAAACTTCCCCATGGTCCATAATAGAGTGGGAGAAGTTTGCGAGAGACCCCTTCTTCTTCTTAGAATTCAGACATCTTGTCCCAGACATAGCTTCCTACCTGAATGTCCGACGGTCGACGCCCCTTGTTCGCGTGATGGATCATGGCATGTTGTCGCTTGGTCATGGCTGCAATGGCAACCTTGAGCAAGCGATCATACGTGGCCCTGAAGCCAGGCCTGTCGGGTGTTAAGCCAACTGGCTGCTCACCGAGATGCAGCCTATTAGGTGCCATGCCGGTGGCAGAATGGATGGAGTTGTTGTACAACCCCCGAACAAAATACAAATCTTCATCCCATGTTTCCTGATCCGGGATAATCAAAGCGCAGAGAAGTTGGAACACAGTCTGGTTGATTTCTTTAGCCAAACCGTTGGCTTTAAGGTGTCGGCCAGATGTCATACACAGCCTGATCCCCATGCTTTTTTAAATGTTATTGTTGAAGCTAGTTATATGCCTTTTATCTATCTGTCATGTAAAGATTTATTTTCTCTTTGTAATAAAGAAAATACTTTTATAAATTTATCTTATCAATCATCTGAGTCTCCTATTATGGTGAAGCTAGCAACCGAAGCCCCGGTGAACGGCGGCCGTAACTATAACGGTCCTAAGGTAGCGAAATTCCTTGTCGGGTAAGTTCCGACCCGCACGAAAGGCGTAACGATCTGGGCGCTGTCTCGGAGAGAGACTCGGTGAAAGAATCACTAATTCTATTGGGGCGTGCGACGGCAAAGGGATCATATTGAGAAACTTAGAGAATCGGTCAACAATCACCATGACTTGTGAGTAACCTTACTTACCTTTCCCATATCGGTGAAATCAACGGAGACGGACTCCCCGGGACCATCGGGATTGGGAAGGGGTGCGAGTAGCCCCATAGGCTTTTGGCTGCATGGTTTGATTCATTGATAGATTTGACACTCAACCATAAACTTCTCAGCAGTCCCTTTCATGTCAGGCCAATCAAACTGTCGCAGCTGATTTGCGTACGTCTTTGCCATGCCGAAGTGTTCGCTCTGGCCATGAGCCAAATCCAGAAAGTGCGTGCGGAGAGGCTCATGGTTGGGCACACACAAACGGTCGTGGGTTCCCGTAGCGACAGAAAATCAATCCTCCATGCTCGTGAAAATCAGGCTGACTGCTAGGGTCAACCCGTAGACGCTCAAGGATGGGGCTAAGCCCCGGATCCTGGGCGATGTGCTCTACGAGCTCCTCGTTCCGTTTCTTCAGGAGGTTGTAGGATTTGACAAGGCAAGTCTTGTACTCTGGGCGGCGAGACAAAGCATCAACTACTCGGTTATAACAACCCTTTTTGTGTCTTAACTCGAAATCGAAAATGTCAATTTCATAGAACCAGCGAAGCAAGGTAGGGGACAGGGTAGTTTGGTGTTTGATCCACTTCAGAGTCACATGATCTGAGAAGACTTTGAAGTGGCGTCCCAAAAGATAGTGTTTCCAATGGTCCAACGTCATACGCAAAGCATAGAGCGCGCGCATGTAAGTGGAAGTGGCTACCTTTACGCTGGGCATGTGTTTGCTGTAGTACTCGAGTGGCCGCAAGCCATCGCCGTTGTCTTGGCAGCACTGCGCCGATTCCATACTGACTTGCATCCATAGTAACTACGAAGGTCAGCTTGGGATCTACAATGCGGAGTACCGGGTAACTTACCAAGGCGTCTTTCAAAGCTTGAAAGGCGTTCATGCACGTGGTGTCCCAAAAATAGGGAACATTCTTACTTGTCAGTCGAGACAATGGACGCGCAACAATGGAGAAGCGGGGCACAAACTTCCGATAGTATGACGCGAGACCAAGAAAAGAGCGCAGCTCGCGAACATTCACGGGCTGAGGCCAGTTGCGTATGACCTCCACCTTGGTTGCCTCAGGCTTTAGGCATGCAGCAGACAACCGGTGCCCAAGATAGATGACGCTATCCTTCCCAAGCTGAGATTTCTCTAAGTTGAGATGAAGTTGCGTCTTCTTGAGGATGGTCAGTACTTCCTCAAGGTGCTTGAGGTGTTCCTCCATGGACTTGCTGAAGATTAGTATGTCATCGAGGTAGAGCACCACGAACCGGCCAATCTGTTCGCGGAGGACTTTGTCCATGAGGCTTTCGAAGGTGGCCGGTGTGTTCGTGAGACTGAAGGGCATTACGGTAAACTTGTAAAGCCCATCGCGTGTTTTGAACGTAGTTTTGTGCTGGTCCGCATGATCGACTTCAATCTGGTGGTAGCCAGACTTGAGATCGATCTTGGAGAAGACCTTGCACCCACCTGCGGCATCAAGCAAGTCATCTATTCGGAGCAATGGATAGGCGTTCTTTCTTGTGATGCGGTTTAGGCCGCGATAGTGAATACAGATGCGGAGTTTGCCTCCTTTCTTTGGAACAAACAACACAGGAGCACCAAATTCAGATTCGCTAGGCTTGATCCACCCCTTGTCAATCATCTCATCAATCTGTCGCCGAAGCTCCTCCAACTCACCGGGTCCCATTTGGTATACGCAACCCTTTGGAGGAATAGCACCTTCAACCAACGCGATGGTGTGTCGGACCGATCACGTGGAGACTCCACGTGGCTCAGCAAGAACTTTCGGAAACCGATCGAGTAGGTTTTGGATGTCTGGTGGAACTGGAGGGGGTGGAGGATCAGCAAAGGGATCACCAAGATCTGGTCGCAGGTCGCGTATAGAGACGACCGAATCTGAAGTAGGATCATTTGGACCATTAGAGGGTAGAGAAATAGAGGTGTTGGGAGTAATAGTACTAGAAGTAGTATCACTAGCTAAAGTAGTAGTGGAATTCACCGCAAAAGTAGATGACACGTGGGCAAGACGAACAAAGGCAACATACAACTGTTCGTCCTCCTTATGCTTGCGCCATTTCTTGCAAAACTTCATAGCATTCAGAACAGTCACTAGGGATTCGTGCTTCTCATCCAAGAGGACGGGAAACTCGTTCCCTTGTGCATCTTTGACCATGAAAAGTGACTCCTTCCCCTTGGTCCATTCGCATTGGGACTGCAGCCAGCCCAAGCCAAGAACATCATCGAAGGGGCACTTGTCAAGGACATAGAAGTTTAACGCGTGGGTGACAGTTTTGTCTTTGTCAAAGGTAGTGCACACCTTTGACTGCATGCGTAGAAGAGACAACCTCTTTGTTGCCAACTTGAGTTCGACAAGGGTTCTGCAAGGCCACTTGCTTCATCCCCAAGCCCACCTTGTGTATCCCGTGTGGTGACATGAAGTTAGCCGTAGCACCACAGTCAACCAAAACACGGAGATAGCGGTGGTTTATGTGAAGTTTGAAGAAGATAAACTTCACGGTCCCTTGGGCACGCTGCTGTTTCATCTCAGCCCAATGCTCCAAGTGGTAGTGGAAGTCGACTGCCCCAGACTCCTCCCAAGGTTCGACATACAAAACATTACTCACCTCAGCCTTGTGTTCAGCAGATGGTTGGGCTTCAAGGGAGGACTGCTGATTTGCAACAGATCCAGTCTCCCCTGCTGTAGAGTTTGCTGAAATTGACTCTACGACCGGTTCTGGTTTCCCTGCAGCCTATAACAATCTTGTACCTTATGGTTTGTTTTTTGGCAATGCAGGCATACCCCCTTCTTGAATCTACCCCTCCAGTCATTTTCAGTAATCCGGAGGTCGACCCAAGGTTTAGTAGTCGCATCCTCCGGTTTAGGTGGGATTTTGACTCCCTTGGAAAGTTGGACATAGTTCTTCCCTGCACTCCGATTCGGCCCCTTTGTATTGGCAGTCTTTTTGAAGGCAGTAAATTTTTCTTCTTCGTGGTTTGCGTCAGACTCATGGGCCGAAGAACAAGCTGTATCAGGGTCCTGTTCTTGGTCGTCACCAAGAGTGGGGTCCTCTGCATCGGCTTCTTCTTCAACCTCCAGCAGGTCATGCACAGCAAAACGGTTGCTGCCTTTGAATCGCCTGCCGCCCATGGGCATTTTGCTGCTTGCTGTGGTGACCAGGTCTACAGCCTCAAGATTGACTATGTCCTTCATTAAGGTGAACCAGTCAATGTAACCAATGAAGTCCCTGCCTAGGCGATTAGTAAAGCTGGTGGGAACCGCACCTTTGACCACATCCAAGCAAGATTGAGCAGTCAATTCCAATCCGGGTGTAGCGAACATCTTGCTAAGGTAAGTCTGCAGGTTTTTCATGTAGCCCGTCCACTTGCTGCACTTGATTTTGTCAAGCTGGATTCTTGCCCTCGCTGCAGCATGTGGATCCAAGTATTGCGAAATGAGGAGTTCCTCGAGGGAGGCAACCGGGGTGGTCTTAAGCCACCTTGTTAGTTCTATTTTGGGAATCCCAACTCGTGTAGCTTGGACCTCTAAAAAGGCCCCACACGACCGGCTCAACATTCATTCCCATGATCGCGGAATGGGTCTCAGGTTGAGTCCCCAGAACCTCGAGGTATGCCCTCATGGAGCTGATCCAGGATTCGATGTTTTCTTTGCCGTCGTACTTAGACGGTATTTGAACCACCTTAGGATCCACATAGGGACCGGCGTAGCTGGGACCAGCTCCTGCTGGTTCCAATCTTGGGGCTACATCAGTTGCAGAATTTCCAGCCTCGTTGCTTGTCATAACAACAGTGGAATCTGCACCTGTTGCAGGTCCCGAGGGGGTTGCCATCACATTCAAGGACGAAGATATAGTAAGAGAGGCAGAGGTAGTTTCAATTGCAGCTTCAGATCCAGGGGGTAGAGGAAGAGGGTTGGCCACTTGGGCTTGTCGCAGCTCAGCCACCTTCTTTGTCAATTCGTGGTACTTGCGGGTCATATCAGTCAGATCATCTTGAAGTGTTCGCAACTTTGCGAAGACTTCAGCGATCTAAGTGGTATGATCTTCAAGATTCTTGACTTGAACAAGGGCGGTGAGTATAAACCGCAACTATTCCCCACACTGCTCTTCGGTCAGTGAGGGAACAGTTTCTAGGATGGCCACCTGCCTTTTCAGCAATGATTCCTTCCTCTCCTTCTCTGTTTCCTGTTCCCTTTTGGTTGCACTATCTAGGAGTGCTTGTAGATACGGTTTTTCCGCGTCACTGGCTGCATCTAACAAGGCCTGCCATTGCACTGAAGTTGGCTGAGCCATTTTCGGACCGTTAGTATTGACAGGTGGGTCAGAGAGTTGGCAATCAGCAAAAGAATCAATTAGACTCTCAAGAGGTTCACTCCCCTTCTCGCTTGGACGAACACTCCTTTTCCCAGTCCTTGCCCACTCCAGACGGTCACTTTCCCTCTCTCCCTTCTCTCTCCCCCTCCTCTCTCTCTCTTCTTTCCGGCGGCGGGTCTCCACGGGCATCAGAAATGAACTCAGAAAAACAGACTTGAAAGCTCAGAGAAGAGAAGGTAGAACTCCTAGCCGGAGCGATATTTCATTTGGACGTAGAGAGCAGCAAACCAAAGAAGAACAAACAAGTTTAAACGAGAGGTCTGATCCAGCGACCCAGTCTGATCAAACTGCATACGAGGTCCTCTCGAGTCCAGTCTGACCAGCTTCGTGACCGTACAGCGAATCAGACAGCGAGTGACTAAATGCAACAATGGAGAATTGAGTGGTGTACAGGGTGCAAGTCAAGCCACGGACAGTGCAACCAAAAGACATGTGAAACGTCTCAGCCGAGATCCCCTCGGCAGTGGGTGTCCTAACCAAGAAGAAAGAACTCCGTAACACAGTCAGAAGACAATGGGCTAATGCCTAACCGATTTGGGCCCAAGAGGGCTCTTCTTGTCCGGGCTTGGTCCCACTGGGTTCCAGAGGTCCCACGTAGGTCGCAGCCAGGTCCCAACCAAGAGAAGTCCCTCCTGGACTTAGTTCAGTTTCTACTGTACTGAAAAACGAAATTTCAACTTCTGGCAGAACCTACAGACTAGAACCGTTCAGAGATTAAAAGACAAAGCACTTTAGAAAGACTCGACATTTAGATCAAGATACTTCATTTTCCACCCATCAGGTGAGTAGGTAGATCACATGCATTCAGTCACACAATCAAGATCACAGAGGAGTAGGAAAAAAAAAACAGAGTACCCCAGCAGGACAATCAATACCATGCACACATTCATGGGCATCCCGTAGGTGCACGACACTTACCTGAGTGGCCTTGAGCTTCGAGATGAATAGGACTCACCCCCCTCTCATGTGATCCTCCTGACCCCTCTAACGCTACCCCTACACTAATGTCCTATCTCCTAGGAGGGTCTGACTCCAACACCCAAGTGCAACGCTGGATCCCCCGTCGATGCTGAAGAACAAAGTAGCAACTTGCAGTCCGTAGATGCTGAGTGGGCGCTGACCCTCAAGCTCGCCTACTTGAGGGCAGCCCTTAAGTTGCCCAGTGACTCCCTTGAATCAGGTTCCAGGTGCGAGTGCCTCTCACTGTCGCCTCTCTCAAATCGCCGCATGAAGCCTCCTAGAAATGTCTCGCCACCCTAATCTCACTCTCAAGCAACCTGGTTAGGTTCAACGTCGACCCTCCGTGACCTAACCAGGTGGGGGCAGCTTCCCTCAACCACGCTGCCCCTCTTCCCTTCACAGACCAACCCTAACCCTAAGTGTTGCCCTCAACCACTTAGGTTAGGGTTAGGGCAGCAAAGTCAACTCTCACCAGCAAGTAGAATCCGCTCTGATACCAATGTTATGATCCTGGCCAATTTCGAGATACACATCCATCAGATAGTACAATGCCGCCCAATTGCAGAAAGAAATGAATGAACTTGAGAGAAGAGAGAGGATTAGAAGAAGAAGAAGAAGTAAGAAAGAAGATGATGTACACCAGCATAGACAAATGACAAGGCTCTTCTTCTTCGCCCAAAAATCTCCTCCTCCTTATCTCCCCCTTCTCTTATTCATACAAGAAATAATAATACAATGTTGAATGGCTGATCCAGAATCAATGTCCGAGTCCCTC